CGTTCCTCACTGTGATGTGCCTTTCTATTTTTTTGATTTGTTCCCTTCAGGAATGTCTCCTTCCAACCAGCGAATCAAGTGCCTCTGAAAATGCTCGAACGTCTGCGTGTTCTAGAGTTTGATCTTCACCGGAGGCTTTATCGCCAAAAAAATAACACGTGCATCTCTTTTGATCAGTGAAAACTTTGGCAAGGGAGTTGAAGACATTTTCTAAGAGTTATGTAACAAATGGTGTGGAAAAATGAAGAGGATGGGTGATTGTATTTATAGAAAATTGCATTAACACTGTCAAGCCAAGGAGGGTGGCGCCTCCTCTCAAAAACACATGCATGCGCCACACTACATGACTTTACAGAGGAGGACAAGCCATGCAGTGTAGCGCCTCCTCTTTAAATTGAATGCATGTGCCACAGAGTGGCTACTCCTCTGTATGGCGAAATTTTTTTGTTTGAAAAGTGATCATTTTGGTAAATTTTTTGAAAAAGTGGTTATTTGAGAAAAAAATTTGAAAAAAGTGATTATTTAAAAAAAAAATTCAAAAAATTGTCTCAAAATATTTGTCATTTTAAATTACCTAGAATTTTATATTTAATCTTCCATTGGTATCTTCTAATAAATATTCTTAATTTATTATTTTTACACTTAACATTAATACTAATTTAAATATATCAACAGTTAATCAAGATAATTTGATAAAGTCACTATTCTCTCTTTTATTTATTATTGTTATTGTTTCTTAATATGGGACATACAGAATAATAATTATTAAAAACTCACTACTTCAATTTGTTTAACATATAGCAAACTTTCTCAAAATTTTCCTCAAAAAATGTATATCCCATTAAACAGACAAATGCTGCATACTCAAAGCATCAACTAGAATATTCAAACTTGCAAATAAAAGAAAGAGAATGATGAGAACTGAATAATCAAGCTTAGGAGTAAACAGATAAAGGAACAATATCGCTATAGGACAACACAAACCATAATGCAAATTTGCAAGCCTTCATTGTCAAAATAATCTAAATCATAAGCTTCTATAACATTCACAAACGGATCAAATTCTCCACAAATATCCGGCAATTTGCTCAATGCACAGTGGTGATCGGTTCTGGTGACAACGTAAGGTGAGGATTCTCTTCAACCACTATTATGTCACCATTCACATATTCTTCTTCACTTGGCTTATCTGAAGGAACCACATTCAGAGGTAGAGCAACATTCGTCTCACTGGAAAGAGTAGTGTTCTCTTCATTGGCTACAATGATCTCAGTTTTCTCTTCATTGGCTGCAACAATATCGGTTTTCTCTTCATTGGCTGCAACAATCTTGGTTTTCTCTTCATTGCTTGCAACAATCTCGGTTTTCTCTTCATTTGTAGCTTTGGATAAGATAGTATCTTTCTTTGTTGCCTTAGATGTAGGTGCGGCGGTTGAATTGGTCTTTTCAGAAGCCAGTCGAGTAGGAAGGGACTTTCGTATCGGCTTCTTTTGATTGACAAAGGTAATTCCTTTAGTGGTGTTGCTCTGTAGCACTTTCTCTTGCAGACTTAAACGACCTTGTCGAGAACTGATGCTTCCATTTCCATCAGACTCTGAATTTGTTGAATTCTTCTTACGGCCGAGCTTGGGAGATTTTGCTCGTGTGGTTGGTATCTACATTAGTATTGTGTCAAACAAAATAAAGAAGTTAAATTCTCCAAGTGATAACGGGATGTATTGTCGAGATAACGGGGAAACAACATTCCAAAGAGAGTTTAAACCATCCCTTTCCCAATGATATGTGTAATTAGCTGTCATTCTAGTGACAAAAAAATGTGGTTTTGGCAATTTGTTATTATTGTAATTAGAATGTCATTAGAAAAGCTTTTCATGTAATTATGCAACATTCAGATATTCATTGATAAAAACAGATATGAACACTGTTTTTGATTAGATAGATTTTACAAAAGAGAAATGACATTTGTATAGTATGGAAGGTAGGAGTAGAGATATAACTGTGTAAAATTATGAAATATTCTAATTGGTAGTTTTTAACTTTTGAATAAACCCTGATTTAGCAACTAAAATGGAAATTAACTTATAACATCAACTTACATAATATCTTGAACTTATCGTTTATAATATAATATAACAATTTAACCTTTTGTTTCATCTTGGCACAACACAAACTATGGTCCTACTCCAACAACCTTGGCGGATATAATTTTTCTTAACATAGCCAGAATTATCTACAAAATCACTATATTGAGCTAACAGTATTGCTTTCAAAATGATCGATTTCTTCAATTTTTATCTCAACTTCGCATATGCATCTACAAATTAAGTATTGGACAAAAAAATACCACATGTGTGCCTGTAGGAAGTAAATCCATATATATATAACAAGTGAAGATCAATGGTTTGATAATGACAGATAGTGTATTTAAGAGTAGTCATGCTAACACGAGTAAAGACGCGACGAAAGCGGCATAGGTAAAATGGGTTGGAAGAAGAGGAAGTGGACAGCAAGGCAGATAGTGTTCTGCAGGTATCACATCAGCACAGATCACTGGTGTTGATTTTGTTGAGGAAAACAGATTTTTCTCATTTAAGAACAGGCATGATAAACACAACAAAAGACAATTATAGGATACAAGCGGGAACAGTGAACACAAATTTTCATCAGCAAATATCCGCCATGGCGACGCTAAGGCGGATATACATGGCAGTTTTTGGGCTCACCGCAATGGTAAATATCGGATGATATTCCGGGGTTTTCCGTCATAATCCACTATAACGGTGCCGCAAAGCGGCTGGAATGGCGGGACTTTGGCTCTCCGCCACCGACAACACTGGTCTGGAGGCTTTTGATTAGAACAGATTCTAACTTAAAAGCTATGAATTGTAGTTTTTGCCTCCGAACATGACTTTTACAATGAAATTCATTGTTCAACTCACTTTCATGTGAACGTATCCGAACATAAAACATTCTACCTAAAATCAACTTTCGCCACTGAAGAACTAAACATACGTGCAACCAAGAAGTGATGTACAATGGTACAACTGTGCAAGTATACACATGCATTCACACACGCACTCACGAGAGAAATTTACCTTCTTCAGCTCTACCTTAGGAGGAGCAGGCTCCTGATAGAAAGTTGGCATTGGAGTTGCTTTAAAAGTAAGACTCTTCCTAAGCTTTCTTATCTCAGCTTCTTGGCTCTCCTATAAAAGGAGAGAAAAAACGACATGATTAAAAGGAAAACTCAGCAATTTATAATTCAACCATGACATCAAAGATTCTCACCTTGGATTTTGCCTGCAATGTACTCTTCTCCTCCTCCTTTGCCTGAATCTTTTCCTCAACCTTATTGAGGAACTGCTCACGAAAAGATCAATTTATTTTTATATAACTAGAAACTTATTCAGATTAAACCTGGACAATGGAGAATGAGACCGAAGCTGGAAACATGTATATAATGCAGTTTACCTCTCTCCTTTTCTCAGCTCGTTCACCACATCTGAAACTGAATCCATAATTTGGAAGTGTCCCCACCCTGCGAGGTTTGGCATCTTCTGCATTGGTACTTTCAAGAGAAGTAAGGACTACAAAAATACACATCACCATACCCAATAATACATTTATGTGACAAAGAAAACTGCACAGTTTCACATTTGCACTAGAAGGAATAAAAAAAAATCCAAGAGAAAGGATACAGAGAAGGTTCTGTTTCTCCTTGAACTTTATCAAGAGAACCCTTTTTCAATGATTTGGGATTTTTCTTCTCCCTGTAACCAATAAATCAGTCCATGAGTTTGATTACTACAATCATCCCTTAAAAGTATATTTCTTACTGTGAAACTTTTTCAAGTAAATGCAAGTACATACGCTGCAACTTGAGAAGATGTCGCATCAGACTTTGAAGGGTGCTGAGGAAAACAAAGTGAAAACAGTCAGAAAATGCCAAACTATAATTTTATCACCCAAAACCGTAAAAATTAAACGTTGAAGAAACATATGAAAAACAGTTATCTCAAACTCTGAGTTACTAAGTAAACATTTGAGAAGGCATTCAACACAAGCAAAGGTAACAACAGGGTTTACCTTGGACAACTGAGACTGCCGATCATTGAATGATCTGCTTTTAGTAGGCTGTTTTAGGCGGGAGTCTACAGCAGAAGTTCCATTTGAAACAGAAGATGATGCCGGTTTGTCTTTTCCAATTTTGCTGTTTTTCACCAAACTTGCACGAACGCCACTAGAGCTAGCAACCTTTGCATTCTTAATCTTGACAAGACCCTTCTGTGCTTTTGATTGTTCCGTTTGAACTGTTATCTTCACTTCCTTTTCCTAGAATTGAGCAAGTATATATTAGATCCAAATCATATAAAACTAATGAAGTGAAACCAACTTAAGAAAAGCAAAACCTCTCCAACTTTAGAAACAGTCAAACTATTGCCATCCACGGTGTCATTTGTTCCTTCAGCTTCATTCATAGCCGAATTTCCAGTTGCAGTGCTTTCTGTCTGGTCGAAATTTTCAAATTTTCCATTCAAAGCTACGTTTTCTGTAGTTTCAATAACATGGGAGTCTAAACCATTTGAAACAACAACGTCCTCTCCAGAATTAGAAGGTTCATCATCACCACCGTTTTGGTGGACCACATCAAGTCCATCAGCAGGCAAAGGGTTAATTGAATCCATCATTCACACTAATCTAGTTACATAGACACAATGAATTGAAGTCAGAGATGATTAAACACAACACCACCACAAGAGACAAAGTGAACAAGTTTAATCATTCCTAAGGTGTTCAAAAGAAAATTCAGTTGCGTATGTTTGAACTATGAAGCATGGACACTCCGAACACAACACCGACACTAACACGGCGACATTACAATTGTCCGACACAGACACATACACAGACACGGACACACCTTTTTTCACAGGTGTCGGTGCTACATTGTTTGAAATGTATTTAGACAAATTCTCAAAAACAATTTATCCGTTTCCAAGAGATTACAACCTTTCACAAAAAAAATCTGTCAAACATTCATCAAGAAGCCTTTGATGCAAAAACGACTTACCCTCTTTTGAAGAAGAAATATAGGATTTAGATGACAAAGCAACAAACCTGTAAAATCATGTGATAAGTAATAAGCTTGTAAGCAACGCTACACACAATCATCAAACATCCGAATTTTTCAAAGTAATAAACAATTCTAAACACTAAACAATCATAATAATGACGAAGTAGACCAATTTTATTTTATAATCTAACACTACTACTAATCATCTCTTGGACTTAGTTGTTTAGTGCATCAATAAAAATTGGAAATTTTCACCAATGAGAACACACAAAAAAACACAATCATGATTATTATTATTTAGAAAAATTGAATCTTTTCTTCAGCATTTCATCGTCAAAACCAACCAAGTAGAAAAAAAATATTGGGAACAGAAACTATTACTATTGATGAATACGATTACAACTACAACTACAACTAGGGATAAAAAATTATACTCAGATTCCAAAACCCACTACTTTCCAAGTACCAAACTTCGATCCAATAAGAACCCGAGTTCAATTTCTGAGATACAACAATCCCAGAAAATAAAAAATAAAATTTTGGCGAAAAAATTGAAGTCAACAGTGAGTGAAATTGTGCTTACCGAATAGTCAAAATGGGGTGAAAAAGTGGAAATTGAACATGGTTGAAACTTGGGAGAAGAATGAGATCTGTGGCAACGATGGAAGAAAGAGAAAAAGTGAAAATGGAGTTGTAGAAGAAGAGGGAAATCACGATCTGAGACGCTCCAGCAGCAAGATCCGTATGGTGGAAACGGTAGAACTTCCTAAAACATTTATCTTTTTAATGTTGGTTCGTGTAAAATATAAATATATAGTATTTTGTAACATTAAATTTGAAAAATATGTATCTTAATTTTTTTTATATTTAATTAATAGCTATAATTAGTTATAGCTATTAATATCATAATCATAATAGAGAAAAAAATCTTTTAAGTTTTCAAAATAAATTAAACACTGGTATTTGAAGATAGAGAAAATACAAGAAAGAGATATTTGAATTGGATTTTAAGAAAATATTATCATTTAAAAAATTATTTGATTGAACTATGAAAGAATATAGAATGCAATGAATATAAAAAGACATATTCGGTTATTCAGGTTCACAGTTAACTAAGTTACTCGTCTCCACCTTTCTCATGTGATTTTGCCTTAAACAAGGACTTGATCCACTATAACCAAACTAATTACAATCGCACGGGCTACCTGCTAGTGACTAACAATCACAATGATCAGCAACCATTGACCCCTTAAGAATTCTAACCTACCTGGTCTTCTTAACAGGGTTTCACAATGATCTGTAGCCATTGTCATCTCAAGTCTTTTGATCTTCACTCGATCACTTGAGGAACAACACAATGATCAGTTTAGTGATCTCTACGAGATATAACTATCATTGACCCTATCAAAAATATGATCAAAATTAATCTTTCTATGAGGAATTTCTCACAATGATCCTCAGTCGGTGATCTCCTAAGATTCATAACCCATCTGATACACTTAGAGATGTTAGTGATCATTGACTCCATAAGGATTCTGACCATATGGTCTCTTAGAATAAGATTTCATCTGCGAAGGCCGCAACCACTCGTCTTCTCAAGCTTTCTGATCTTCACTCGATCACTTGAGGAACCGTCAATTCTGAACATACTTATATTTTTGGAGATTACATGAGTGCTTCTTATTAAGTAGACTACTCTTATCTTAAGTACATATTGTTTGACACAATTCTGAGCAACAACTCTCATGTACAAACAACTTATATGAAGATTCTTAAGAAATAACACAATTTAAGCAACAACTCTTGTGTTTTACAATCTTCCTACATAGATGAATATAATATAAGTTAAGTGCAACATCTTGTAGTCTTCTTTTCTTCATCTTCTTCGTTAAGCAAGATAGGAGCAACAACTCCTTGCTTCTTCATAATTCTTCCAATATGTATATAATTGATAGTTGAATAACATCTTGTAGAATTCTTCATCTTCATCTTCTTTCTTCATTAAGCAAGATATGAGCAGCAGCTCCTTGCTTATTCATTTCATCTCTTCAACATTATAAATATTTTCTATTAAGAACAACAACATTATTTGGACTTAGACATTGTCTTTTTTGCCAATATCTTCGCCAATTTGAATTTGAAGCTCTAGTCTTCTTTATATAGCCTCTAGATGAAAAAAGTCGTTGTAAGGATAGAGAAGTCTTTTCTCCTTCCAACGGTTTGAATCCCAACATATATATTCAATAGAGGTTTGGAATAGTACGAAACGTCACTTTCCTATACCTACTGCTTGCAGTAATAGCGTACGTCAGTGGGATAACAACTACTATGAATAATACTGTTATTGTACTCTTTTCTTCTTAACCAAGTTTCTTGATCTTTATCTTCTGATGATGTACTTCTGATTCTGAAGTATTAAGCTTAGAAGAGATCAATCACTTTATCTTTGTTCTTATGATGACTGACTGATGAGTAGTTCAGAAACTACTTTGTTGTTGTAGTGCAAGAACATTAGGTTGTCATAACCAAATCTTGTCTTCAGAATTATGGGCAATAACCTATCTGAAACACAAAGCTTTTCTTCTGATCTAGAACTACTCTTGAAGACATATTTCTTTTCTAATTTGAGATATGAATATTGTGTTGAGAAGATTTTTTACTTCAGTTACTTTTGATAGTGGATTCTTATTTTCAAAATGATCTGCAACAGCCTATCTGAATAAAGCAAGTCTTGATAGTTCGTGAAGGCTTTTCTGATGAAGTTATCAAAATCTTTTCTGATGATAGACATTGAAATCATATATTATAACACAACCTATCTGATTCTCAAGTCTTTGAATTCTTGAGCTTTGATTATTTTCTTCTTGCTGGATTGTTTCTGATCTGAGGAGTGATAATGATCTAGAAGATTCTTCTTTGTTATAGTGTCATGGTATTTCAGATATGTAAACATTGTCTTCAGATATATAAGCAATAACTTATCTAATGAACAACTTCTTTGAGTGAAAGCTCTTCTGATCTACTACATCTTAATCTTGTCTTGATACTTTAATTATCAGCTTTTCTAAGTTGTATATCTGATGTCTGATTTTTGAAGCAACAACTTATATCGGTATATCTGATTTTATTGTTTGAGTTCCTTTTATCTCATCTTGACCTTGTATTGATTCCTTGATAATCAAATTTTTTAAGCTGCATATCTGATGTCTGATTTATGAAGCAACAACTTATATCAATACATCTTATTTGATATTGAATATCTTCATTATGATCTCTTGATCTCTGTATTGATTCCATTTTTGATGAACATTCAGCATTCCTTATAATTGTTGATGTTTCTGTAGAAGTGGTCACAATATTTGAGTGCATTGGTTTTTCTGATGATGTTTATCTTCTAACAAATATTACTTTTGTTGAGTATATTAGCTTGAGAAGATATCATCCTTCTGATCTTATCTTGTGATGGATTTTGAGATGTTAGTTAGATGTGAGTCCACAAGATCTTTCTTCTAATGGAATACTTCTGATGTTGAATGAAGGTGCATATCCATGAATTTTCCGAATCTTCAGAATCTTGACTTTGTCTTCAGAACTATGAGCAACAACTCTTTTGATGAGCAAATATTGACTTCTGGTCTTGGAGTATAATCTTTCTACACATATGTTTAGAGTCTTGACTTCGTCTTTAGAATCCAAGCAACAACTCTTCTAATGACCAAATCTTGACTTATGATCTTTTGCGTTGAAGGCTTATTTCTTGTGCAATCTTGATTTCCGATCTTGTAGCAGCAGCTTATCAGAAACTCTTTCTTCTTGGAAATTCATTGAGACTCTTTTCTTGTCGAACATTCAGCATTCCATAGAACTATCGATGTTACATTAGAAATATAACTCAACGATTCTTCTTCTGAGTGGTAATGTGATTTTGATGATATCTTGGTTAAGACTATCCATAACTCTAATCATGTATCTGCACGCTCAATGAAACCATTAGAACTAAAATGTTCTTCATAAAATATATGTTTGTTATCATCAAAACTCGGAGATTAAACATAGATCTAAATCTTGTTCTTATAATATCTTATAAAATAAACTTTTTTTTATAGAAAAACAGATATCCCCTTCTAAGGATGGCAATGGGTAGGATATTATAATACATGTCCTCATACCCGCAATTTTAAATAGTCCTCGTACCCCATATTCATGTGGACATTAATTGTATTTGTACTTGTATCCTCTGGGTTACTTAAGTATTCATACCCTTTTACTCGCATTTTCAGTTAAAAAATTAATCAATTATAATTTATCGTGTCATTTTATGTTTTTAATAACATGTTGAAAAAAAACTAAGGATATTATTATTGAGTTAAGAAAATAACAAATATTTATATTAAAATACATACAAATTTAACAATGATGTATTTAATAAAATTGATAAGCATACATGCGTATATAATAAAATAAAAATATATAAATATACATTGTGCGGGTATAGATAATTTAGTGGGTAATTTCTCATGTCCATGTTCATATTCATTTCGTTTGTTTTTACCCTACCAGTTATAAATGATTTTTGTGGGTACTCATTGAGGATGGGTCCAATTAACATCTTTATCTCCTCCATGTTCAAGAGAATTTAACAGTGTTGCGTGTTTAAGATTAGTTTTTTATATAAATTGGATATCATGTATAAATCGGGATCCTCTATGCGCAAAAGGAGAGACTAATCTTCTCCCTCGAGAGATTTAACATTGATGCGTGCTCGGGACTGGGTTCGAACCCATGATTTCTAATTAAGCTAGAAATTTTGGATTAGGTAATTAGGAACTTTTTAGGAATTCAAAATTTTAAGCAATTCAAATTATTCAATTGAAATTCATTTAATTTTAAATTTTTTTTTGTTTGGATTGAGTATTAAAATGATTCATTGTTAAATTTTTAGAGTCATTTTCATAAATTTTTAAACTTTTGAGCCAAACAAAAAGGGACCAATTTGCAATTTTTGAAAATTTAAAGGACCTATTTATAAAATTTGAAAATTATTTAGGGACCTATTTGTAATTTTTTGAAAATTTTAGAGAAATTTGTAATTTTCATAAAATATGAGGACCATTTTGCAAATTTTGAAAAAATAATAATAAGCAATTTAATATTCAAATTATGGAGCAATCTCAAATTTTTTACTTTTTGATGTCATTTGAAATTTCTTAAATTTGACTTGAATAAAATGTTTAATAAATTTACATCATTTTAACAAATTTTCATACTTTTTATCCAAACAATGAATTTTGATCAAATTATTTTAAGTTCTTTCAAAAAATTATTTTCTCTCATTAAAATGGTCCATCCAAACACATTCTAAGAGCTCTTGGGTGTGTTTAGAACTAATTCAAATTAATACATTTGATTAAACTCTAAGGATACATTTGTTCAAGTTACAAAATATCATTCCTTATAATTCTATTTTCAAGATTATTATTTTTAAGAATAATATTTACGTGCAAGTGTTTGGTCAAAAATTAAAAAAAAAAAGTTTAAGAATGTTTATAATATTTTTTTAATTGAAATTTTTTAATAAAATAAAACAAATGTGAGTATGACCATGAAATTGTAGTTAGTTAAATTTTATTGTTAGAAATAATTTATTCAAACCCTTTAAAGATGGAAATAATTGTGACAAAAATAATGTGTAAAAATATTTCTTAAAATAAAAAATATGCGGAAATAATTTTTAAAAATTTAAAACAAATATAGAATTATTGTATTTCCAATGTCAAATTTTTGGAAATACAATTTCTATCCTTGAAAAAATACATCATAAAAAAAAGTTGCATCTTATTCAAATACTCTTGAGTAAAATAATTATTGTTGTAAAAGAATTATACTTTTTGTGAATAAAAAGAATAAATAAATTTCCAAAAGTGGGTCATAATAATAATAATAATAATAATAATTGAGACAATAAAAATGGTGTAATAAATACAAATAAAATAGATTAAAAAGATAGAGGAGTTGAATGAAAGGAGCGGTTTTTTGAAATGAAATTGTTTGATTGAGTTCTAAGAGAACCGGCAAAATGGCATGATGAGAAATATACTGATACAGTTGCGTTAACATTAATCAATACATGGACATAGCATATGATATTGTTTTTTCATTTGTACGGTTTTCACGAAAATACTCTCTTTTATAGAGTTTTCACCGAAATTAATAAACAAAATACTTATTTTGATCTTTTAATTATAGCTTATGATTTAATTTGGTTCTTTAATTATTTTTTGTGTTAAATTGATTTTTTAATTTTTTAAATATAATCACGTTTGTCTTTCCGTTAGTGAAATTCAATAAACAAACTCCATGTGACATTTGACTTACTGAGGTGGCTTGTTAGGATTCAGCTGGCAAAGCATAAGAAAGGCAATCTACAAAAGATATGGCACATGCATTTTTCATTTTCACAAAGTATTTTCGTAGCTGGAGAACAGTGAAGAACAAGAAAATGCAGAGGCGATTTCGAAGGTGATTTTGTTGCGAAGGTGATTGCTTATGTGATTGCGAAGGTGGTTGCTTTTCAGGTTAGTATTCACAAACCCTTTTCGTAACTTGAATATGGCTTCGTATATGTGGATTTACGGATTTAGGGATTTAGGGATTTAGATAGTCTATTTTTGGTTGTTCTGGGATTTAGGATTTATGTATTCCATATTTGTTTGTTATCTGTAACTGAATGTTTGTTTTTGGATTTAGGGATTTAACTTTAATGGACGAATATCTGAAGCTTGTAATTCACCACAATGGTGAATTTGTTGATCCAGAACTTAGTGTTATGAAGGAGGCTTAATATATGATTTGATGGTAGATGTTGATAAGTGGAGTTATTTCGAGTTAGTTGGTTCTTTGAAAGAGTTAGGTTATATAGACAATACTGAGAAAATGTATTACACGGACCGACAATTTGGGATGAATGAACTAGTTGATGACAAAGGTGTTCTAGAAATTGCAGACCTATACAGGGTGTACCAAAATGTTGATATATATATATTTAACACAATTTGTCTCAACCTGAGTTTAGTGATGGTCTTGTTGAGGAGCTTGAGAACATTGTAGATGAGATAGAGGATTTGTTTAACAAGCTACATGATGACATTGAAGAAAAGTTGAAGGAATCTAATGTTGATGTGGAAGAAGGTAATGCAAGAGTGAATGATGCAAATGTTGTTGTGGAAGAAGGTAATGCAGGAGTGAATGATGCAAATGTTGGGGTGGTAGAAGGTAATGCAGGAGTGAATGATGTTAATGTGGGGGTGGAAGAAGGTATTGCAGGAGTGAATGATGTTAATGTTGGAGTGGAAGCAACAAGTGTTAAAGTGGAGTCAAACCATTTTGAGGGTTATGTACATGATGAAACCAGTTCTGATGACAGTGAGGATGAGAGTTATCAGTATGATAGTGCCTTTGAAGTAGCCTTTGAAGATGAATCTGATGGGTATGAGGACATTGATGAAAAAGAGGTTCCTGACCTGACTGCATATGACAGTAACGAAAATTCAAAAGGAAAAGGAAAGTGCAGCAAAGATACAGAAGAATATAAGGGGAGTGACAATGATAGTAATCATCTCTAAAGTGGTTGTGACAATGATGATAGTAGTGGGGGTTAAAAGGAAGAAATACTCTGTTTTCAAAGAAAGGAAGGACATGTTTTATTGTAAAGTGCTCTAGGTGCAAGAAAACTGGATATACCCAAAAGACATGCAAGGCCACACCAACTACAACACAAGGCACTGCAAGTCAGGTTGAAGCCAATGAAACACAAGGCGCTACAAGTCATGTTGGGGCCAATGCAACACAAGGCACTGCAAGTCAGGTTGGGGCCAATTCAACACAAGGTACTACATCTCAGACCACTACAATACAAGGCACTGCATGTCAGACCACTGCAACTTAGTTGACAACAACACATGTGTTGTACCCCAAAATTTATCCTTTTTTTTCACAAGACATTTCTTATAAAAGTTCTCAAATGCTCAAGGATTCTCAAGAGTTGATCAGACAAGCTCACCTCCTAAGCATTAGGTCAATAACTAGGATTTTGGTTTTCTCAAGGAAATTTGGACTTCTAATGCCTCAAGTGACTTTCATGGTTCATCATAGGTCTACAAGACTGCTAATACCAAGTTTCAAGTCTTGCATCACAAATTTGCTCAGTCAATTGCTCAAATGACTAAAGAATCATTTATATTGGGTAAAAAGTCAAATGTGGTCAACATACAGTCAAACTTCAAGAATTTTGGTCAACATCAACATTTTGAATTCATATTCATTATTCGATCAAGAGTTTATCATAATTCCTCAAGAAAAGCCCTCAAACCGTCAAAGGGGTAAAATTGTCAAAATTAGGGTTTTAACTAAGAATGACTGATCATTGACTTTTGACCTATTACATGACCTAGTGACTTGAAGCATGATCTTAATGACTCAAACACAATATCTTGACCTAATTTCATGGTTCAAAACATCCTCAAAGATCAAGTGGTTGATAGTTGAAATTTGGATCAACTGATGAAAAGTCAACTGACACATAAAAAGTCAAACTTTGACTTTTTGGTCAACATTGAATTTCAAAGATCAAGAATCATAAAGACATTCAAAAACATAAAACTTGATCATCAAGAATCAAGAAAGTCAAGAAAAGTCAAGATTTTCAATACTTAGAAAAAAATTTAAGTGTTTTTTACCTTGATAAATGCACTACTTCATATTGTTCACCTTTTAACACAAACTAATAAGCATGTTCATGCTTAACATGCCATCCTCAATGTTTTTCCCAGCCAAAAAATCAGTGTTGAGCTCGGGAATTAAGTAATTGGACAAAAGAGACTTTAGGGTAGGAAAAGCTAAATTGGTGTTGTTATGCACACACCAATTCTTATTAATCCACCAATCACTAACAGAGGAGGTGAGGGTTTGATAAAAAATTTTCGGAATGTTGTAAGTGTAAAGAAAACTTCCAACATGAAAGTTGTAGAGCATGATGAAATCTACAAATTTGTATTAATGGGTTGATGTCCAAAAAATGCTCGGATTAGGAGATATATGCCCATGAAGTCATGACATTTTTAACAAAACACTTAGTGAAATTTTCAACAAGTTCGGTCAGATTTTTGTCCCAACTTCTTGACAATTTTTCACCAAGTTCCAAGTTGATTTAGCCAAAGTGGTCAACATGAAGGTTGTATAAAATGTTTCAAGCTTTCCAAAATGTCCAAGAACTTGAAGAGATCATTTTTGAGTTAGGAGAATCGAAAAGAAGAAGTTGGCATGATAAACTTGAATTACAAGGCATTTTCATGAAGAACACTTGATCAAATCTCAAACCTATGCTGCATAATCTTGATTTGCAGGCTTATAACTTGAAAATCACTCCATAATTTAATGTTTACACAAAATTTTGAGCCATGATCCAAGTTATTCAAGCATTGTCCATTGCATTATTCCATTTTTGGGAGAAAAGTAGCATTTCCATTCTTGTAAAGCTAACTTTAATCACAAAGTCAACTTCTTGAGTTCCCAACTTGTTTCATCCGAGTATAAGCAATCTCAAAAGAAAGAAGCAACCTCCATTCATCCAACAAACTCAGACCATGCTTTTACTTGAACATTGGAACCATGTTTGTCAAAGTGGCTTCCTAACCAAGCTTCCAAACCATAATTTCATATCTTTCAAATATGATTAATTCAAGATGTAAAACCTTTACTCTATAAATAGAGAGGTTTTTTGCAAGCTAACACACGAGTTTACAAGCCCTCTAATCCCCTAAAACTCCCTCAAACCAGAACTTGCATCAAAAACTCCATTACATGTGATTTCTGACTTTGTATATCGAACACCAAATCCCTTCGTGCGTTTTCACTTTTAATCAATCACAAAGCTTCTATAGCTCATATAGAGGCTATCCAATCACTTGCTACACAACTGTAACACAATCTCCATCATCCTCCATTTCCAAAAACAGTAACCTGCAACTTGACTTCTCTAGAAAGATTCAGACACTTTCAGCATAAAGTAAGCATTGCAATAGCTTTCTAGAAGTCCAATGAAGCTACCCGGATCATCACAACACCTCCAGGGGTGCTCAAAATCCAAACACGATTTCCAGTTTTGAGGTAAGTTTTCTCAACTTTGAACTCCTTATTTAAGCATCCTTTATGCATACATATAAAAGAAAAAAATGTAGACATCATTGCCCTGAAACTAACCATGTCCTTACTTTTCATTTATATTGATTGTGTGTTGAGAATTTTGGAATTTAAGTTTCTGAAAAATTAGGTTTTAGTTTGGTACCAATTAAAATTCATGCTCATCTTTAATCTATAGCTTTTATAATTTACATGGTTGAATTCGTGTTGAAAATTGGAACAAGTTTGATGTTTACATTTCCTGACTTGGTTGAGAAATGAAGAAGTTGAAAAATCATAAAATATTGTCAATGGTGTTGTTGGCGCAAGGAAGAAGATGAAGCCATTTTCAATTTTTTTGGAAATGAGTTTATTTTAAGTTTAATGCAACCTGTGTTATGAACGGATGAAACAACCACTCCAATGGTAGAACACGCGCGCGCTAAGTTACTTGTCTATACGGACCTGGGTTCAAGCCCCAATGATACCCTTTTGCATTTTATTTGTGATTTTTCAAACTAACACGCATGTTTATTATATTTTGTGTGGTGCCTGTATCTAAGACACAAGTAAGCGCTTGGCTTGATGGTAAAAGGCGCGCGCTGGAGCCTTAAGGGGCATGGGTTCAACACCCACCCATGCAAACTATTTCTTTTCTTTTAATTTCATTTTTATCATTTGTTTTCATCATTTTCAACTAATTCTTTTTGCATCCAAATTTAATCCTCCTGAGCTGATTTTTTGCATACTGTTATTTTATCACCTCTATTTTATGAATATAAAAAAATATCACAATTTTTTTTATTTCTTTATTTTTAAATTAAATCAAAACCATCACTTTTTAGGGTTTTAAAGGGACCTTTTGTTGAATTTTGATTAATTTTTCAACATTGTTCACAATGCTTGATTTCCCCATGATGAATCTTGACTCCTATAAAATATTTTGACACTTGGGTAAAACATTTCCATAATAATTTGGTATTTATTAGAACTTTTTCCTTAATAAAATTCACATTAAAACATGAAACATGTACAAAAATAAAAAACAATACTTCATGACTTTTAAACATTCAAACTCACCCATTTTTCTTTTCTATCCTTTTATTTTTCTAGATAAATTGTATAGGTTGCACCCTTAAAATGTAATAGCGTAAATTTCTCTTTTCTCGCATTTTTCTATTATGTAACTGTCAAATCCTTGCAATAGATAATTATAGTTTATTGCTTTCCTCCC